CCACTGAAAACGAGAATAGGAAACACTAACAAGTCAAATCAAACGTTAAAGCTGACATATCCAGGGACCAGGACAGACGCAGGTGGGAGCGCAGTGGTCACCATCTGCTGAGTCGGTCTCACTTGCAGCCATTCCCAGGCCTCAGCGTGTGGTCAAGGCCCCGTCTGCTACTGCTGGGTCTTTCTTGCAAATACGATATTAGTAAGAGGACATGTATTTATACTCTATAAAAATTCTATGAGTGGTATTCCAAAAAATTACAAGTTTTAGAGGCTAAATAAAGTCCTTAAATGGACAGTTCTGACATGTGATTGTGTATAATGATGTAAGAGACCTGAATGTTATCTGAATACGACTGAACAATGTTCTCTGGCATTTCCCACTGAGTATTTGCTACGAGTTTCAGTGCTTTATCCATACTTTAACAGAAGAAAAGCAAAGAGAAGTAAAGGTTGATGTGGAATGCTCCAACCTGAGTTCAGAAACTGGTCTAAAATCTGAAGTAAAAGCAATATAGATTTCAAAGGCAAAACCAAAGCCAGGGCAAGGAGACAAAATATTTTCATCTTTAAAAAAAGATAAGCTTATGCAAATGACCAATGACTGATGCCTAATTTGAAGATGCTTTTGGATACACACTTAACAATCTGATGAATATCAATGAAAATAAAAATTTTTTCTACATCTGTAATATTTGTTACCACAGATCAAGACTATCAGATGTAATGGATACTCTGTATGCTTTAAAATTTATTTTAGGAGTGAAAAACTCAAATATTAAATACGTATGATAATATCTTTCAAAACAAATAATGATTTTTTTGGCTTTTTTTTTTTTTTTTTTTTGGTGTTAATGTTCCCTTCTTTTAAGGTTTTCCACTAGCAAATGTCTGTATAAGGTAGTTTAAAAACCTTAGTATAATCTTGTCATATTAGTTCACAGTAATAAACCAGTTGATTTTATATTGTCGTTTTCTCTCCTTCTGTGCCTGGAGCACTCAGGAGAAGCCATCCCACACTACAGCGTTTGCAGCCATCGTTCCTGCCATAACAGTCATGTGCGGCTGTCATCTGGGTTCCCAAGGTACTTGGTTCAGCTGGCACTTCGTCACAATCAACCACAAATTATACTGTGATCACATTGTGATGCCACTTCTTGTCATGAATTACAAGCATCCTACTGCCCACTGAAAGGAACTTGGCACTGTAGTCAAGTCCAAGAACACAACCAAAACCAATTCTAAAACTCCTTCTTGCAGGTCTGTCTCCTGGGACCACTGACGGGACCAGTTCTGTATCAGCCAGGGTCCAAACAGGAGAGAGAAACTACATGGTTACTTGAACGAGGATGGCTTAATATAAAGTATTAACTATTTACCAGGAACTAATAACTAAGAGGGAATAAAACGGAACTGAAAAGAACGCCACCCTAAAGCTGGGGGAGGCTGTCCCAGTAAGGAGCAAACTTAGAAGAGGGGGCCGCTTCCAAAGTTGGGGTTCGGACCTCCCTGGAGAAGGTGTGGTAGTAACCTGGGGACAGAGCTGGTTCCCAGTGGGTAGGTGGAGGCAGGCAGGCAGGCAGGGAAATGTCATTTACCAGCGAGTTCCCTGTGTGTGTGAACTTACTAGAAAACCAGGTGAGACAATGGCTGGACTTGCCAGAAACCCAATGGAAAACCATTTGCAGGGTATGCTGCTGAAATACGGGAGCCAGCTGGGGTGCCCGTGGAACTCATTGGGAAACCATGAGGAAGTCAGCAGGTGCACGGGTGGAGCTGAATTCATGGCTGAGGAGCCCCCTTCCACAGCCCCCACCCGACCCCTGCCCCCTGTGAGGCACCAAGCAACTCGCTGTGGGGAAGCTGACTGCAGAATGTGGCTGAAACTTACAGTGCCTTCGCAGGCAGGGGCAAAAGGAAACAGACACACTGAAAACTCCCCTCTCATGGCCGTTAAGTGACATCCATATCCGCTTGATCCTTTTGGGACCCGCTTCATTAAGCTTTGTTAAAAAGGGCCTCAAGCAGCTCGATCTACGGTCTAGCCCAACTAGCAAGACGTGAGCCTTCTGGGGTCTCTCCCCTCAGGCTGGTTAGAACTCGGATTTTCCCAGCCCTGTGTAAGAGCGGGGACCGTTAAGCTTACAGCTGCCAGAGTTTTCTCTGCTTGGCCATGTAAGTCCCAGGACGCACACCCTCAGCTTAGTATCCGGCAGCAGACTCCAGGGGACACCTACGCAGATCGCCTGAGCTCCTTTTCTTCATAACTCTCCCCTCTCTGACACTCTGTGCTGCAAATTCCAGACATCTCAGGCTTCTTGGACTCAGATTGCTGTCCCCTCAACTCAAGAGTCTGCTAGACACTGCCTGGACTCTCCCTCCCTGGGCCGTGGCCCAGAAGTACGTCCAGGCAGAAAGGTGAGGAAATCACAGGACTCCTTGTGTGTCGTCTCCTGTTCTACCTACGGGGCAATGTCTGCCAACAGTAGAAACCACCCCCCTTCGTCTTTTATTAATTTTATTACTCACATCGGCTCAGATTCTGTCAGTGTTTGTACATTTACTTTGGGAACCCCTCTAGGTGGCTTTTTAAATGTCCTTCTGATACGTCCCATAATTTTTTAAGCATTTATATACTTGCTGATACAATTAGACGTTCCAAGCTCATCTTGTACTTTCCTTGCCCCAGACATGGAATCAGATTTTTCTTCAAGAAGATCTGGGATCTTTTAGTAGAGTAATATTCAGGGACCAGGTGGGGTTGTGGACACTTTAACTTGTAAGTTAAGAGGTCCTGTTAGAATTTGAAAAGGCTGCAGCTGTTTGGACCCAATGAATTAAAACTACTGTGGCTCCTTTCCAGGACAAAACCTCACACTGAGAAGAAACTGCAAAACTAGGAAAGTAGAAGTAAATTAAAAAGAACTTCCAAGTAAAAGTAGCAGAGGGCAGCAGAAAGTACAGCATATATTTTTATTAACTTGTTTTAACAAGGAAAGAGGGAGCTCTGGCATTATGAAACAAAAAAGGCTACCCGGAGACACCGCATGTAGGCAAAACACCAAGTTACTCATTAAGGGAATAAAAATCAGATTGCTTTCAGACTTTTTAAGAGCAATGCTTTATGGCAGAAGACAATTAGGTAATTGACTAATATAATTAAGATGGACAAAAATAAAAATATGAGCCAAAGTATCCATCCAAACAAACTGTAAAGTATAAAAACCACAAACTGCTGTAACGATCCTGTAAAAATCCAGTAGAGAACAAGCTCTAGACAACCACGATTACTGAAGAAACAGCATAAGGCTGGTGGTGAGAGTAAACGTGTTTACCCACAGACTGAAGAATAAACGATGTTTATAAAGGGGACAGGGCAGTAGGTAATGGCTGTTTACTTTGCCAATACAGAGAGGGTGCAAGTATCAAAAAAAGGTAAGAATGAGGAAAGCATATGCGAAGTAGAATAAGCTTGCTGATTAGATGTTTGGAGAGTAAAAAGATAATTACTTCGAGTCAGATGATGAGAAAGGGAGAGATGACTAGATATTGATCATATCAATAAAGATAAAGAAAGTGTCGCAATGGCTACAAAGCCCAATACGATTCGGAAACCAAAGAGATTCAGAAAGATAAAATAATGAAAAGATGGACAAAGATATATCAGGCAAGCACGAAGAAGGCAGGAGCCGCAACGGTGACATCTGACAAGACAGATTTACAGAAGGAAATCATAGAGGAGGAGTCAGATTTAAAATCAAAATCAAAATATTTTATACCAGGTTGAGGAGTCTAGACTTGTAGTCAAAGGAAGTCTTCGAAGGATAAACTACCGATGGATAAGAATCAGATGCGCTTTAAAGACAGACGAGACTGAGGTGACGTGGGAGGCAGGGGATGCAGTTAGACGGGGAAGGGGACAAACACTGCTCAAGTGCCTACTCTAGGCCACGTGGTTTGCATTTACATTCTCACTGTAATTCTAATAACAACTATGGAAGGTGAATCTTGTTATTCGCATTTTATAGAGACAGATTCTAAGGCTCAGGAAGATGAAGTAACTTGATCAAGTGAAGAAAGACGCTAGAATCAAGATTTTGAACTCAGTTTTACCTACCTCTTGGCCACTACAGAATGCTATTTGTTGTTTAAAAAAAAAAAAAAGTTTAGGACAGAAAGGGTGAAGGCTAAGGCAGTGCAGAGGGACAGATATTTAAGAAGCGTAACCAGGGAGGCTTGGTGATCAACTAGACATTGTCTAAGATTTAATAACAGAAATCAAGAACTCCAGAACCATTATAAAAGCTAGTATCCACAAGGAGTGACAAACATATTGGGAAGGAAAACAAACCAGAATGTCCTTTTACACCCTAATAATTTATTGTTCACCACTTTTTATTCTTTCCCAGACCTGCACTAACTAAAGACAAAACTTAAATATACACGATTTCTTGTTACGCGTTTAAAAAAAAAACCCCAAACACCATTACAACAACAACTAGGTTTTTATGAAAACCATTAAGACTGAAATAGAAACACCGGGATCAAGGTAAAAATTCAAAATGGATTACCACAACGAAGGCACTGCAAGCCTCCTTCGGGGAAGGGGCAGATTTTAAAATTAGCAATGTGCTAATAATTCATACAAAAGTGTTTGTTCTCAGAGTACAATGCATGGAGAGCAAAAATGTCCTCTTACTGCATAGGCTGCAGAAATGGATTTATAGAAATAAAATCCAGTAAGCAACACGTACATAGATATTCTTAAACACTAAAGGTCCAGCGAGTTTTTAAGAAGTCACGATATAGAATCTTCTGGCTTTTCTACTTTGCAAAACAAAACCCCTGAAAAGTCCTCTAAAAACTTCTCCAATTTCTGTTGCATCCTTGTGCCCCAACTTAGTCATCGCGATTTTATACGAGATACATTACTGAATTCTGTGTTGGATCGGTTCCGTAAGGATATCTCGGCCCATTTCCTTTGTGCCATCTCCTACTCACATGGAATGGTTCTCAGGTAGAGATTATCTCGGATCACTTGCTGCAGCTTGTGGTCAACTGATCCTTTCTGAAACTGAAGACTCAGGTAATGTCGCAAATCTTTATTAATGACTTTGCCTATAAAAGAAAACCACAGAAGACAAAACTGTTAGATCTCCAGTTCAGTATAGATGCAAGTGGTTGAATACCCTTAAACCGCTTAGCTATGAACAGAAGAAATCAGGGTATTTCACTAAAAACGAGATAACGCCAAATTATTAAAGGCACTTTAGTTAAAATATATACTTGTATAAATATAATGTGGGCATAATTTTACACAGTAAGAAGGGAGACGGTTTAGGTAAGAGAAGATGACAAATATACGTGGTAATTTCATTCGGTCTCAAGGCTTTAAATAACATCTATATGCTGATAGCTTCCAAATTCTTATCATGTCTATCCCTGACCTACCCCCAGCAAGCTCCAAACTCATCAGACTCGCTCGCATATCTTACAGATATATTTGGAAATCAAATAAGCACCTCGAATTTCATATTGACAAAACAGAACTCTTAATCCCATCTTCCCCGATGTTTTTTCTCTCTTCTGCTTTCCCTGTCTTAGAAAATAACGGTAGCACCAACCCAGTGGAACAAATTCCAAAGTCAGCGGTCATCCTTGATTTCTCCTAACGCCCCCACATCCAGTGCGTCAGCAACATCTGTCAGCCAGTTCTACCTCGAAAACGTCTCCCACCCCCCGCTTCTCTGCACCTCCACTGCCACCGCCCTGATCTAAGCCACCATGATTTCTCACCTGGAATTCTCCAGTGCCTACTAATTGGTCTCCTTGCATCTATTCTAGGTTTCCTTCTGATCCTGCCATTTACACAGCGGACAAAGTGAGACTTAAATCATAAATCAGACAGCCGCTACCCTGTTCAGAGCCACACACTAACTTCTAGTGGCACTTGGAATAAAATCCAAACTTCTGAGCAGAGCCTAGAAGACACTACGTGTTCTAGCCCTGGCCATCTCTGACCCGAACTTATACACCCTTCCCCTCCCAAATATGCTCCACCCACACTGGCCATCTCCGATCTTCGAAAAGGCCAAATGGGCCTTACCTCAGTGCCTTCTCTCACTAAATTAACCACCTATTTTCTGTCCACTTGCTTGACTCCTAGATACAATGTGAATAAATAAGAGCGAAAAATATTTTTCGTACTTGTGGGGGAAATGGGAGATAAGAAAAGGAATAACAGGTGGTCTCGAAGAAATATTAAGCAGGAAAATATGGGATAGCAGACATCTGACAGCATTGAATTTGCAGAAAGGATTGAACTTAAAATGGAAATCAGTGACGAAAACATTGTTCATTAGTCGAGATTTCAGATAATTAGAGACTTCAGATAATTAGAAAATCTTTTTGAATAAGAAATGACTAGTTGATTAAAATATACTCCTTGTTTTATTTGAAACAGCTGAGTTATGACAAGGTTCGATAAATCAAAAGGTTACTACAGATCAGTTCATCCTTTTAACTATTTTTCCATAATATAATATTCCTAATTCCCCCTTTTAGTCTTTTCTCAAATGTACAAATAAACATAACCCATACGAGAGGGTGTTAAAATATAAGCAGGAAATCAGAGTGCTTCTACAGTTCGAGATAATATTCAGAACCTCAACGAATACACACAAACCAAAAAGACCTTGTTTTGCGTCGCCAAAAATAAATGCTGAGGAAGTGGGGAGCATTTACCATCGAAGAAGAAAACCTGAAAGATATCTGCAGGGAGAGCCCAGCAGAAGCCCTAGTCCCACAAGTTGCTCCTGCCAGGCATTTAAGGACCCCGGCGACTGGAGTCCACTCTAGATAGAATTATATTTTTTTTTATGAGCAAGTACAGCCCTTGCTCGTTGCTGGGTAGAAGAAAACCCTTATTCATAATCAACACTGCAGAATCCCATTGATTACTGAACAAAGACATAGCTGATAATGAGTTCATTAAGTATTCTTAAAATTAGGCAAGGGATGTTTCGAATGCTCTGGAACAAATATTGTACAAAAGCTTTGGGAGATTGTTACATAGGTGCTTAAATGGTGATATTTGTGGAAGCTTGGTTAGGGTATTCCAACAGACAGAATGCATCGCTGTTTTGTCCTTTTTAAAATAATATAATATAGGCTGCATTATCTAAAAATATTTTCAGGAATAGATTTGGATAAAGGATAATGCCTGTATAATTAAAGACAATCAGAATCGACACTTTTGAATTCAAAAATGGTTTTGTTTAATTTGAAGCTTTCCCATAGATATGCTATAATCACAGAGGTAACTCTAAAATGCTAAGAACCCAAACTGGATCTTAATCTATAAAAGTTACCGCCATTAAATGAGATATAATTGAAGTCGAAGCCATGATAAAAATCATAGATCACAAATTACAGCATGAGGAGGTCTCTGAAGTGAGACAGAAGTTAAAGCAACTCAATATCTGTTTCAAGGGCCTACAAGATCTTTAGACTGAGAAGCCAGCTAAAGCAGAAAGAGCTAGATTTGAAGAAAAACACCTAGAATTATCAGGATTGGAATTGCAATCTCAATTTTCACCCTCAGCTTCTACTGGGATTCTGGCCGCAACTCTGAGACGAAGAGTTGAAAACAAAAGGATGAAGGACAATTTCATAACTGTGATGTCTTATTTAAAATATGCGACTATTAAAAAAGTTATGCTTTTCTGAGGTTGGAGACAAATATCTCAAATGTCAATAAAAAGTCAATTATAAAAGATTAATAAATGATTTGGGTTGGCATTAAAATTAATAATTAATAATAAAATACGTTGGCTATCATCGTGGATCACCTTGCCTCAAGAAACCAAAGGAATTTTCAGAAGGGACAGAATGTTATTATTCCCTCTTTGATATGATTCCAGGGCATTTTTTAAGTACAAATATCCTGAATAGGCAGATGACTGTAAAATTACTAGAAGGCCGACAGAAACATTAACTCACAAAGTCACTGCTGAGTTTATCTATATTATCAAGTTGTATGTGAACTTCTGCCTTTGGTTTGGGGAGAGCTTCACAGAAACTTGACATTTCGAGGGTATAAAACACATCTACCTGGGATTAATGTAGCTGTTGTTAAATAAATAAGAAAAAAAGACTCTTCGGGATAGCATTCTTATGCAGTTGGCCTTTGCTTTAATTCAAATGTTGAGATTAGTCTTTGACTTCTAAGTGATTTATAAGTCAAGCTGATTTATGAAATTTAAAAAGAGATCTATACATCTTACAAATACATACAGCTCAGGGGGGGAAAAGTCTCTAACTGAAATCTCAATCACATAAATAAATCCAGGCATTCCAGTTTCAATACATAAATAAATCCTTAGTCAGAAGAACTTGTAACTAAAAATCCATACTTTCTGAATACTTGCTAATTAATACTCCCTAACAGTCCTCTCTGTCCTCAACCTAGAGTGACTGGCTGTTATTTAGATAAACCCAATGGCAAGTCAGCAGAGGTGTGGCCATGCAAGTGACTGTAAATCATTCTAATTGCCAACATGTCATTGTCTTTTCCAGAAGGATAGCCCAGCGGACTTTGCCAATCGCTTGCGAAAGTCAAGATACAACATGCTTTTACTGATCTCTAATCCAGTGGCAATTATAAAATCAAAACAGAAAAAAATGAGGTCAGTTTGGCATGTCTTATTCTTATAAATTCACACCGATTCATGGGATCAATCTATTCTTTTCTAAACACAATACTGCTTTTTTTTTTTTTTTTTTTTTTTTAAACAATCTCTTCAAATCTCGCCACGGTGTAAAGTCAGGGAGTTATGGAAGTGGACTTAAGTTTTCACAATACACTTTATGCCGTTTTGGGAACTGGGACATGTGTCTCTCTTCAGTCTCCTGGTACTTCCCACATGCTCCATGATTCCCCAAAGAATATGGACAATGACCCTGAGATCATGTCTGAGAGTCTCTTTAACTCCTAGGAGGCAATTCAGTCGAGTCTTGAAAACTGAAATTCCTGTAAAGTGAACGATACTCTCAGTATCTCCTAATCTTTTTAAAATTTAATTTCTCACTGTTTGGGATGGTCTGTGTTTACCGTTTACTGTTGGAAAAGTAATTCTGCCCGTTCAAGATTAGGGAAGCGGGTAAGAATGGTAAGGGTCCGATGTCAGCCTGGAGACAGCTTATGTGACCTTCGCCTCCTGACAGTGAGCCCACTTCCTCCTCCTCCTCATTGCTGCTGCTCCAAACACAGCCTTAAAAGCAATCTGTTCTCTCTGAAGTGTCTTACTCCCTTTGAGCTTTGGTCTATAGGAAAAAAATTCTTAAATGTTTATTTCTCACAGTCTACTTAGCACTGTATAAATGTGATTATGTGCTCCTTCCAGCTGTCAATCATATACATCTTTTCAAAAGACCTGAGCTGCTCAGAGCGTTCTGTGCACCCTTAAGAATTTCTTTACATAACTTTTCGTTTAGAAAACTCTAGTCTTGGAGCCACACCTATAGATGCTATAACCTTTAAAAAATATGTTTTCCTCCAAGGCAAAGTATGGGCATAACCATGTCTTAGTTCTCTTCCTTATTGCAACTCGAAGAGAGCTTAGTGACTTTCTTCAATAAGATGTTCCGTCTGACGAGCTCAATACAATTAACATTACTAACTAGTCCTTTTCCATTAGACCTAGACGCAGAAGAGCAATGTATCTCATTGCTTCTGTCTACCTCCACTTCCTGGGTGCCACTGCAGTGAGATAAAACTCCATGAAACGGTGAAAATGATACATGGCGTAAATTTAACTCCAAACCGGCTCCTTGGCTGAAGGCAGGGGGTCCCTAAACCAAAACAAATCACACTGTAGTCCATTTGTTTGGTAACTGTAAATGGTATCTGAACTTTTCTAGATAATCAGTATCTGCACACTTCGTAGTAAAATATACCCTATGACACAAAAATTATTCAGAAATATTTTACGTGGTTTTTAAACATAAAAAGGTTGTCAGCTGAGTGCCAACGCCATGGTATTTAATGCCAGTATCTAACACACAAAATGAGTGAATCAGCTTAATTTTGTTTTTTTTTTTTAATTGTTCTTTGACCG